CTTAATGTCTTTGAGCATCTTTTTTTGAGCATCTATTTTGTTGGTTACATTATCTCTTTGTGACCATGTCTTTGCACTTTAGGGCATTTGACAGAGATTGATTAATTCTACTGAATGTAATAGAATCTTTTGATATTTTCCTTTATAGTTTGTGTTTTCTGAGTCTTGTTTAATAAAATCCTTCACTCTTCTAAGGTCAGAAAGATAGTGTCTTCTAAATATTTGGCTTTTTTACATTTAGTCTTCAGTTATGTGGAATTTATTTGTAATGTGGTGTGAGGTAATGATATGATTCTTTCCTCCCTCAAGCACGGATTTTAGCTCAGGACTGTTTTATTAGTGCATCCGATTCTCACTGGTTTGTAATGACATCTCTGTACTGAACTTTCATAGATATATGCAGTGTTGTGTTGTTACTTCTGTAATTAAAACTTTTAGTTTTATTGTATCTTCCATATTTAGTTCAGTACCTTCATGTTTCTAGTCATTTCTTTTTATATATGTTCATTCATTCAACCAGTCAGTCAAGAAAGAACTGATTGAATGCCTGTGACATGCCAGCGTATTACTAGGCACTGAGGTACAGCTGTAAATAAAGCCTGAAGGACACCTCCTCAATTTCTAGTGAAGGAAACACACACAATAAAGACGATCCACTAACTTAATAACATATCCAAAGATGATAAAGGGCTACACAGATAAGTTTATGAGGAAATATGTATTTAGGGGAGACGTGGGGCAGTACAGTATTTTATAGAGGGGTCGGGAAAGGCCCAACTGGTAAGAAGCCTGGAGCATGGGAGGGAGTAAGCCAAGTGGTCATCGCTGAGGGAGGCAAGTTACAGGCAGAGGTGGGGCCAGTACAAGGCCCCGAGGTGGAGCGTACCTGACGTCTGAGTCAGCATTTGGCCCTACTTAGTTTATAGTCTGGGATCACTCAGTTATCTTGAGGGGAAGACCTCCTTTTTATTGTCTGCTCATTTCCATTTCTGATGCATCTTCATGCTTACATACTTGGGGTTATAAATTCATCTTCAGCGGGGTTCGAGAAATGAGTCTCCAGGCTGGTTTTGTTTGTTTCTTCCGGGCACTCGGGTCCGAGCCTAAATGGATGATGTGGATTTAGACATCACACTGCGTGTGCACAGGCCTGTGATACAGCTTTCCGTGCAGTCATTGTTCCCTTCTAGATCCCGGCTTGGCCATTCAGGCTTCTCTTGCAGCCTCTGGGGAACATCCTGGTTTTATGCAGGGGCTTCACATCTAGTTCTCTGTTCTACACAAGGTGAAGAATCCAATTCTGGATTCAGAGACACTCAGGCCACCCACAGAACCAACTAGAACTGGGCTTCTCCTGCATCAACACACATGCTTTCCACTTTGGGTTTTAGCTTATTTCTAATTTCTGGCCCTTGGGATTTCCTTCTCTCGGGAACTCAGCTAGCTGTACATGTAAAAGGATATTCGTTATAATCTAATATTTGAACCAGAAGGGTTTTCAGATTATCAGTCATGTTACTGGAACCAAAAACTCCTTCCACTGGTGCCATTAGTGGTCTCAGGAAGTGCCGATGGGGTAATCGGTTAGGTAATGAGAGATTCAGCTTAGCAGAAATTCTAGGATGTTCCTTGAACATGGGTGGCAAATACCTTTAGGTTCAGAGACCCTGTAGACTTTCCTAGATTATTACTGGTGGTGGGTGGGGGAACTAGATGCCTGTGCTCACGTTTTCTTAAATTCGAAATGCTCTTTTTCTTACTGATGGGGAGGCCCTATTCCTGTTTTTCTGGGTGCATATAATTGTTCCAGTAACTTACCAAGCTCCTTTTAGTCTGCCTTTATGCAAGCCTACTTCGATACACTGATGCGTTAAGTAGATTGAGCCATTCTTGGTATTCCTGGAGCAAAAACTGCTTGGTGCATTTATCCTTTGTGCATTTGAGAGTTCAGTTTGCTTATATTTTGAGCACAGATTTCTGTGATGAATCTTGTTTGTTTCATAGACTGGTTTTAGGTAGCTCATCTTTTTCTCCTAGGAATAATTTGTGGAAAAGAACTATTTACAACTAAAGTTTGAAGAAATAAGTATGCTTCCCTCCCCTTCAGATTCCAGTAATCCGTTGGGGGAAGCTCTGTATAAACGATCCCAATTTATTTCTCAGCTGTTATTAGGTTATCTGATTTGTTCTTGTCTAATTTCTAACAGTGTTTATATTAATATTTCAAAGAACCATGTTTTAATTGTTATTAGTTAGAAGAGGAACTCTTTTTGGTACTTTACTAAAGGTATGAACTTTTAACTTGGCAGTGTGCTAAAGGTTTTATTATGGAGTCTTTTTATTTCTCCCTTGGTCCTATTTTTAGAGAAGTATATTGTTTAAAAATTTTCTTCATATTTTTGTTAGTACGATTTGAATGTGCTACGAATTTAAAATGTATTTTCTTCTTAACAGTGACAAAATATTACAGCTAAAATTTTACCTCATCAGTTATTCTTTCTAAAAAGCTTTACTATCTTTTCTGCCATTCTAGTTTAATTTCCATTACAGATATGAGGGGTAATTTTCTACTAGAATTGTCACTTTATCCTTGTGTACTTTTGAGTTATAGTGTTGAACATATTTTCTAATTGTAAAATGTAAAAAGAGCATGCTTTTGTTAATGTAGAAATATCTAAAGAGAATTATTAACACACATTCCAGAAATATGATTCAGTAGTCACGTTTGAAACATAGTTTCCAGAATTGGAATAATTAATTTATACATTGTTTTTTGGTAAATATTTTTGTTTTTAAATGTTCTCCAAGAACATGGATTTTAGTGCATCTGTATATTCTCAGTCTGTTACAAATTGCTTATCTCCTTGGACCTTTGTTATTTTGTTAGTAAGTGAAGAGAGCACAGTGGTTTGTCTGTCTTTATCTGGACCTTTGTCCATTACATTATCTCCCAATAGTGTGGATCTTAAACTGCTGCTGATTTTATAAGCTTTTGCTCAGCATTCTAAAAAGAGTGCTCATAGTGAGATATATTTTTTCGTTTCAACATTTCCTTTTAATGGAGAAATATGGTATCTTTACATGTATTTATTTGGTGCCATCTTACGTTTTGCTTTTTTATATTGGTTATATTTATCCATAAACTTTTATATACTTTCTATATTTATAAAAATAATTTTCATCTATATTTTTTGAAAATAAATTTGTAAGGTGATCTATTTAAAACTACTCCTAATTTGATTTTAAGAAAATGATTATCATTACCTTTTGTATATACTAGGCCAAAGTAATAACTTTGGACTTCTACCTGAAGAAAAACTTTTTTTTTTCACTTTTACCTTCAGATATTATTTCAGTAGGTATTTTTATTTGCATTGTTTTATGTAAACTGTCTCTTCAGTAATTGGTCATACTGTTACTTGGTAACATAGTCTTTAAATTCTCTATCCCATTTGTAAGTTTTCTGAAACTTTGATGATATGGAAGGAAAGGTATTTTGGTGTGAATACCTTTGCTGGTAAAGAAACCCGTCTGAACCCTTTCATTTGGGTGTCTAATAATTGTGTTACAGAAGATTATCTGAGGGAACCTCTTTTTCAAGTCCTTTGTGTAAACATTTACTTGCAGCTGAGCTGTTTGCAAAATTTCCTTTGATCTAGTTCATCACCATTTCCACATTTTTTGGTATCATCTCTCCTGAGTCTTTACTTGTGTAGGTTGCTTTCAGTTACTGGTCCCTAGGTCTGTTCTCTGGTTCTTCTCACACGGCATTAGGTGTTTGAAGTTTGTTCTTTTTCAGACGTTGTGTGGTCAGTTCTTGCGTGTGTTGGGAGGTGCCGTATCTGCAGCCTTTTACTGTTCTTCAAAAAATGGATTAGCTGTTCTTTAAATTTGGCTTGTGACTTCCCATTTCAGGATTCTGAGTGTTCTCTGGTTCCTTTCTGTAGTGCTGTTTTCATACCTGAAAACTTTTTCATTGGCCCTAGACTTTTTCTTGTTAAGTTATTCTTCTTTGAGTTTATCTTCACCTGGTTCTGCTAAATATTATTAGATTAAAATTTGAAACCAAGTGTGGACTCAGACATCATTTAATTGGATATTGCAGTATTGTGTTTTATAAGAAATACGTATTTGGTCATTCAGATGACGAAAAATATTTGGTCTTTATTCAGTTTCCCAAATCCTTGGAATTTCCTAAGTGTTGGGAGTGATTTTAAGTGTCTTTTGTTATGTTAATGAGGTGACTTGGGCGGCACCTAAGGACGGGCTGGTTGCAGGTGGAGCCAACCTTGTGATTAGAGGGTTGGAACCTTCAGTCTTAGCCCTGACCTCCAGGGAGGGGAGAGGGATTGGAAGGTGAATCAGTGGCCAGTGATGGAATCAGTTGTGCCTCTGTAATGAAGCCACCATCAGCATCCCAAAGGATGGGATTTGGGCTGGTGCTGGGGCAGTGGCGCCTGGCCCCTTCCCACACACCTTGCCCTGTGCCTCTTCCATCGGGCTGTTCCCGAGTTACAGCCTTTTATAAACCGGTGATCTAGTAATCTGTGAGCCACTCTAGCTAACAAATTGAACCCGAGGGAGGGAGTCCTGGGGAACCTGTGATTTACAGCCAGTTGTTCACAAGCACAGGTGACGACCCGGACTTGCGTCTGAAGTCGGGGGAGGGGGTTAGCCTGTGGACTCTGGGTGGATGGTGTCAGAATTTAGTTGGATTCTTAGATACCCTGCTGGTGACCAACTGCTTGTTGGTGTGGAGACGCCCCACCCCTTCCCCAGCACACACAGGTGGGTCCAGGAGCCAGTTTAGATGTTAATCCACCTGAATTGTCACCTTTGTGTAACAAAGTACAAGGTTAGGAGTACTTCTTTAGTGATGTGAAACAATCAGTGTGAGTCTTGGTAATAAGAAAAATGATCAGGGCAGGTTGGCCACGTCTCTGCCTCATTCTCTGTACTGTACTGGTTATATCCCAGCACTGCTCTTATTTCCTTCCTAGTGGAAGAGAAAGCCAACACCCACCTCCTCTTGGGCATGTGCCTAGACACCTATGCCCGCTACCTTCTGTTCTCCAAGCAGCCATCACAGGCACAAAGGATGTATGAAAAAGCTTTGCAGATTTCTGAAGAAATACTAGGAGAAAGACACCCACAGGTAAGGGAGAAAAACAGAAGGACTGTAAGACAAAACTTTCAGAATCCAGAAATACGAAATGGGGACAGATAGTCAGCAGGTGGCCCAGGTACATCCCCCTCCTCGTGCCCGACCACCCCTCCCCTGCGCCCAACTGCTTGTTTCTAGAAGGATTTGAGGCTGCTGTTGAGTTTACTGGGTCTGCCCAGCAGGGCTTACGTGAGGATTGGTTTGCACAGCACGGTATTTTGGGTACTGAATCCTATGAAAATCTTATGAGGAACAGGTTAACACACGCAGATCCTCTCCTGAGCCCCACCCATAAAATGCCAGGGGAACGTAGGGGGAAAAGGACGGTGGGACCGCATTAAACAGAATTTAAAACCACTGACATAGAATTTAAGCACAGCATGCAGAGCCTCCTGTTAGAACGGTAAACACATGGAATTGAAATCATGTTTTGTCTTACGAGGTAAGAAATGGGTCACTTTGTGAATGCTTGGTAACCCCCAACCTAGGACGTGAAAGTTCTAACTGGACTAAACATGTCCCAAGGCTGCGGGCAGATGAGCAGGGCAAGTTACTGGGCTCTGAATTATCTTCAGGAACGGGGGTTTAGAGCACCCCCTTCACGGGATATCACTGAGAAACAAGACCACGTCAGATATGGAATTCGAATCACGAGGTACTAGAACCGGGCCTGAAGTGCAGGAGGAGGTGAGGCCCGCCGCCCTTAGCGCCACAGCGTTTTGTAGACTCGGTGGGAACTTTCCCAGGAGCGGTGGTGGGTCTCCTCTTCCTAGAGATAGGCGCGACACCGTAGTGCAGTTCGGCTCCGAGGCCAGCTCTCAAGGGTGCTGAACCTTGACTACAAGGGAATCAGATCCTGTCACTTCTTTTTGCTGTTATTTTTCATTTGCTGCTTCTCCTTTGATAATTAGTTAGCTTCATAAGTAATATTCACCCTGTTACCTAGTGTCTAGACTTGTATCATTTTCCAGAGGGTCAGACTGATGCTGTGCAGTGTGAATGATCAATGCACCTGACTTGCTGACGCCCTGACCTTTGCTGGACTGCCAGGCAAGGCGACCCCTTCAGTGTATCCACAGTTCGTCAGACTCCACGTTGACTCCCGAGCTGTGGAGGTGTTTGCAAGCAGCAGCTGCCTGTGTTTCCTCCCGTGTGTAGACCATCGTGCTGCTGAGTGACCTGGCCACCAGCCTGGATGCGCAGGGCCGCTCCGATGAGGCCTGTGTTCACGCACAGAGGGCGTCAGACCTGGCGAGACAGGTGGAGCACCCTGAGCTCCACGTGCTGCTCAGTAATCTGGCTGCGGTCCTGATGCACAGAGGTGCGGAGCGCGGGGCTGGGCTGGCCGGCCTCGGGAGGGGTGGGTGTCAGTGGATCAGAAGCCTGTGCGTGGCGCTGAGGGGGGCAGCGAGGACAGGATGCTCCTGAACCGACGGGCCAGTGGGGAGAGACGCAGGGGGGGCGCCGTCGGGCCCAGCTCACGTCCCGCCTGTAGTCCTGCCCTGCTGGCCTATCAGGCACATCGAGGTGGAAACGTTTGCAGTGGGACCTTATTTCTGTAGTGCTTTACGGGTTTCTAAACGTTGTCTCTCACGGAGCTCGTGCAACAGGGCACGGCAGCTTGATGGGCGTACTCTGCCATTCTGCTCAGAAACCTGCAACGACAGGTCTCTCACCCGAACCACCGTGGGCGAAGGGCTCCATGAGGTCCCGGGTGTCACGGGGTGAAACAAGGCCCCATGCCATGAACTAGACTTGTCCCATCACTTGTGCTTTCTCTTCAAAATCTCTTTCAGAATCATGGTGAAACATACATTTTCTTTATTCTTCCTTCTTTCCGGGTTATTTTAGAACGATATGCACAAGCAGAAGAGATCTACCAGGAAGCACTGAAGCGAGCAGAGCTGAAAAGAGATGAGGTCTCTGTGCAGCGCATCAGGGAGGAGCTGGCTGGGCTGTCAAGAAAAAGGAGACCTTTGTCGTAGCCTTGCCGAGCTCTGGACCCCTTTCTGTTGTAGTGAATTTATGGTAACACCTCTCATTCCAGTCCCAGTGGCACCCTGATCAATGGCTTAAATCCTCTGTCCTTGATACTCAAGTCCCCTCAACTTAGCCTTGCTGGAGGACAAGCTGTACACAGTGTGTGCACTGCCGCGTTGGCTTTGCGAAGAAAGCTCCCCCCCCGCCACCTGACTTTGCTTCTGCGACGGGTGTCGGTTAATGCTTTCCGTTGCAGCAGACGGCTGGTTAGGTGCTGTCCATGCTGGTCCGAGAATAACTCTAGATTAAGAGGGGCCAGTTTCCCTCTGGGGTGGGGTCTGGCATTTCAGCCAGGCGTCTCTCCCATATAAGATTTTTGTCCAATGATTTGCTGCCTTCTCTTACCAACACCTGGCAGACCAGAGCTACCGGTCTCATGGCAAAGGGGGATGACGGTGAGTTATTTTCTCTTATAATTTATCTCCTGAAGCCCAGTGTGGGATTTAATGCGTAAAAAAGTAGTATCTTGGCTTGCCAGCAGCATGAAGTTTTAAAGTGGGAATTAGGCACTTGAAAGTATAGTGCCCATTTGATTATAAATAAAAGCGAACTGTATGTTTTTGTATGTATCATCTGGTTATATACCACTGTGAAAAAAGGAGGGCAAGGAGTGACGACCCCCTGCGTCCCTGCTCTCTGAGCATTCACTCCTCTGCACCCGGTTATGGGTGTCCCCAAACCCTCTGACTCTGAGTGGGGCCCTGTAGGTGTAGTGTTGAAAGCTTCCCAGTTGTTCTGACGTATCCCACTGGTGCTGTAGAGGAACCAGTGCCCTGGACCCGAGCTCAGGCTTTTGGAGTTTGGGTCTCAGTATCCTCGTGTGTAGTCAGAGTCTCTCTCAGCCCTGGGAGCATGCATTTGGTGGATGACCTTACCTGGATAGGCCGCTGTGTTGAGAGCTTTATCACACTGCCTCAGCATATGTAAAGTACACAACACAGCGGGCACCGATGGTGTTTTCACCCCAGCAGTTCTGCGGTTCTTCTAAGTACCACGAAGGAACCCTGTTGTTGCTGGTACGCTGGTGGCGGTGGCAGCGGGCGGGGTGGGCGGGGGGAGGGAAATAAACTGACAGTTGGGTTCCTGTTTACATACTGGGAGAATCCTTTCATAATAAACTAGACACTCTGCAATAGTAGTGTATGTATTCCATAATCTTTGAGTTTCTCATCAAAAAATAATTTACTAAAGAGTTCATAAACCTAAAAATACAGGGATTAGACTAAAACTATCACCTTAACATTGCGGATGTATCCATCTTCCCACTTTCCGACCCAGTTAATTCTTTTAATCACTCAACTCTGACTCTGGAGAGAGAAACTTTAACTCACATTGAGTTTCAGTGCAACCAGTCTTCATTTATTAGTGACTTTAAAAAACTGTCGACTACTCACCTTCTGCATTGAGAACGTTTTTACCTTCTCACAGTTGCGGGAGTTACTGAAAGGGAGGTTTTTCGCTCTAGGTTTTACTGAGAGTTTCTGACCCTCCTCGTTGATGCAGCTCCCGGTCCCGGAACACCTGCGGGAGTTTTCAGAAAGCTCCTCTGCACGCGGCGCGGTCACTACAGTTCACTGCACTGAGGCAGCGAAACGAGGAGGACCGGCCTGCCACTGACGGGGCTGAATCCAAAGGTGAACTGTTCACAGTAGTATAAAAACTTGAACTATCTCACTGGAGCTTTCAGGGCATGGATATTTTAAGATAGAATCACCCAGCACACCCACATTCAAGCACTACGAATCTTCTCATCATGAACACGCGGTGGACACTGGCTGGCTGTCACAGTTCTGTGAACTGTAACTTCGTTCTGGGTGCTAAAAAAAAGTCACTTGCCAGGCTGTAGCTTCAGAACCCTGGGGTCTCAGCCCGCAGCATCCCGCCTCGGTTCACAGCTGACTTGGCCAAGTCACGTCACGCCGGGTGGGCCTCCACCTCCCACACGGTCTGCCCGCTCCGCAGGCCAGCATTCCGTCCTGCCCTTGTTCTGAACCGAGGCGGGACCGTGGGTTTTGTCTCCCGTTGCGGGATCTCTTCTCCAGGTGACGGCAGGTGAAGTAAAACAACTTGCACTGTGATGAGGAGGGGTGAGTGGTCAACAGCCGCCCCCTTTGGGTCCTGAGTGGAGCTGCACAGGTTACGCACAGGGCTCTGATCTGACGTGTTCTCAAGAACTAGTCATAGAAAAATACCAGCATCATCTCTTTGGGACTGTTGACAAATAATTAAAATCTAAAATGTTACTAGTACCTAAACAAAACTTTAAGCAAAAACCTTAAGTTACTGTTTTTCATTCACATTAAAACTTTTAAAGTATTTATAAAGTCGTACCAGCTTTCCCAGTAGTAGGGATTTGACCACTACACCTGATCTAAAGCTTACTTGGAGGACCTCAAGCATACGCAGGTGCGCAGTTCCCTTAGCTTCAGACAGGTGTCGGTCTGTGGCCCTGTCTTTGTTGCTTATTTAACTGTGTGGGCAACGTACTGAACCTGCATCCACATCTATAAAAAGGGGACTAGACACCAAGGTCCCCTCCACTACAAAGGAGGTGCTTAGTCAGTGGTTGTCGGACACCTGCTGTCTTTAGAGGCTTTGAGTACTTTTGTTTAAAAGCTCGGGTCTACTTAAGAGTCTATAAAGTGCTAGTTTTTATCTTTCTGAGAGACCTCTATCTCGGTGGCATTCCCCCAAAACCATTAGCATCCGTGTGCTACGGAAGGATGCTTCAGTGCTATGTTAAAGTTGTATGAAAAAAATTTTTTAATTCAACAAGCAATTATTATTATTGAAGGGTAAGACTGATCCTCTAGTACCATAATGGGTTTAAAATTCAGTCTTTTAAGTTATTTGCTTCTTGAGATTCAGTGAAATAAAAACATCTGACAAACTCTTGCCCACAAGGAATCAAAGTGAAAGTAAGCACAGGGTGGCACGAAGGGGAAAGGACTGGCTGCTCCCCACGAGAGCTCAGGTTATGCGGCACAAAGCAAACCTAAAACACCGAGGTTCTCCACAGATTGTAACCTTCTGACTCTCAATCAAGAACAGCTATCAAACTAAAGGAAAGTGTAAGTTTTTCCTTTGAAACCTGAGACAGCGAAAGGCTCACATCACAAGTACTCTACTGTAGCTAGTGGACAGCGAAAGGCTCACATCACAAGTACTCTACTGTAGCTAGTGGACAGGGCGGTCAGATTTATTTCAGAACAAAAGCTTTGCTGGGCTGCATCAAATGCAGGAGAGGAGGAGTGCTTGGGCGTGGTTAATTACCAGTGTGCATAACAGTGAGGTATGCCTCAAATAAGCCTTTAAAACCTTAAAAACTGAACTGTAACAATACCCATGCAGTACTATTTTTTCAGTGCTTCTAATTAAAAAAAAAAATTAAAGCCCGCACTGGAAATTTACAGTATGGCAGAATTTTGTTTCTCCTTTAGACCCTAATACGTTAACGTACAGATTTTATGACAGGGTCTGTGTTAAAAATCTAAACATTTATCACAAGATTTTAAACATCACTGGGAATCTGAGTTTGGAGGAAACAAAATTGGATAAAAGTACAATGCCCGTGACAGCCAATATTGTATAACTGGGCTGTGTGAGGTTGTTTAGAAGGCAAAGGTTATTAAAAAGACGAGACTTTTAAAAATTACCCCCAGAGCTGATGCGCTGATTTGAATATAAGTACACGAGATACTAGAGCGAGGGGAAACACTGCAAAAAGGTCATCTATTTACAGAAGAGTGATTTAAAGACATTATGATTTTCTTTACAAACAGATGTAAGAACAGGAATTATCCACTTTTTAAAAACTCTACATTCCAACCCTCCACTATTATTATGATCCACTGAACTGCCTGTATCAGGGCAGCCTTTTCCCCTCATTTGACTCTTGAAATAAACTTCCATCATTTCGTCGTCGTCTGTGGCCCAGGCTCTCCTGAAAAGTCTCTGGGCACAAGTCCTAGGAGGGCAGGCTTTTGGCCTGCACTTAAAACTGAGACCACCAGAAACTAGAGCCCCTCCCCCACCCAGGGGGCCCCGGGACCCCTTCCCGCAGGTCAGTCGCTGTCGGACAGCGTCTCATACTGCGCGGAGAGCAGCGGGGCCGGCTCCCGATCCCAGATCCTGCTCGGCTGGTGAGGGGCGGCGGGGCTGGCAGAGGCGGGCGCACAGGCGACGGGCGCACAGGCGACGGGCGCAGGGGGCGTGCTGCTGAGCATCCGCATGGTCAGGGGGTTGTAGGGGAACTGCGTCGAGCCTGCGGGAGAAGGAGGGTTAGGTTATACGCGTTCCGCTTCTGTTCTGGACAGTGGAACCCCCTAATGAGGCTGTAATATGGAAGCAGTGTTCGAAGCAGTGCTAACCAAAGCACTGACGTCGGCTGCTTTCGGACTCCCAGCAGCTCCTTACCTGTGGAGGAAGGCCTGTCCTCCCAGGCCCAGCCTGGCGTCTGCCTGTGGTAGTCCCCTTCCGAGTGCACAGAGGAGGCTGAGGAGGGCCGTTCAGCTCCCAAGTAGCCTTGCCCCGGGATAGGAGATTTCGACTTCCTGCTGTTTGACTTGCTGATCAGCTTTGGTTTGCAAACTCCTCCTAAAAGTGAAATAAATTATTGCTGCTCATCTTTAGTAATTAAAATCTACCAAAATGCCCATGATGGTTTAGTGCTAAGTGAAGGAAGCCAAGTGGTAGCATGAAGAATCCAAACCCTAGTGCCTAATGAAGTAAAGAAGTGACATTTAAAAGAAAGCCAGAATGTACTCAGAGCAGCTAAAGTCAAAACGGGCAGGGTATGTCCTCATGCCATAAACTCAGAAACGTGTAATCAAGGGACTAGCATTTCTGGAACATCATTTCTTTCTTGGTCTTGGAGCACAGAAACTGCTTTAGGAAATGGAAGCTGGCTGACAAGAATCTTAAATCCTCACTTTCTCCTCCCCCACCAGTTTACAGAGGAGGAATAAAACTGTAGAACAGAAGCCCCTTCAGGGCACTACTGGACCTCAGCAGAGCCTGACAAGTCAAGGGGGCCCTTTCTGCTGCTCCAGGCTGTACAGCTGATGAACTCAGCAGGAGTTCGCAGGAGAGGGAAGCCCCAAGTGGGCTCTAGAACAAAACGTGAAAAAGATCTCAGAAGAGATCAGAGTCCAGGTCACCAGCAAATGTTTTCCTCAGCCCTAGCAGAACAGTCTCACCCTGCCCCCAGTCCTGCGAGGTACAGAAAAAAGGAACAGAAAGCAACTTTGACCCCTCCAACTATCTGGAAAAAGAAGAAATGCAAATCCTTGGTGATAAGGAAAAGAATATAATAAAGAAATGGGCAGGGGCAGGGAACGTGATTCAAACACTGGAGAAAACTTCGGAATACATGAAGCCAGTTTAAGAAAAGCTCAAAGAATAGATAACCAAAATGAAAGGGGCGAAAGTGCTTAGGAAACAAAAGACAGAACAGCAAGGGTCAGAATAGACACGAGGGAAAGGGAATTATTAGGGCAAAGGAAAAATTTGAGAGACTCGCAGTAAAAGCAACAGAAAAAGATCAAGATGACTAAAATAATTAGA